ACCGCTCCTGGCTGAATAAGGGGGATGATCCAGTGGACCACCCTGTACTGGCGGAGGGACGACTCAACGGACGAAAAATCAAAATATTCATCGACGGAGGTGCGAGCCACAGCCTGATAAATCGAGAGACAACACGACGACTACACCTGACGCTGGAGCGGTGTCTACCCGAAATCGATGCGCGATTGGTGGACGGCACCCCGCTGGCGATCCGCGACAAAGTACCCGTCGTTCGAATGAAGTGCGGCGACGATTTTGGTTTCAGCGCGCTGATGTTGGCGACAACACTCGACGGCTACGATGTGCTATTGGGACGCGATTGGCTGTGGAGATTCAACCCGCGGATCGATTGGACGACAGGCGAGTGCACAGTGAAGTGCGAAAAAGGCTGGCGAAAACTACCGACGTGGCCGGAAGCAGAGACGACCTCGACACGAGTCAACGCGGTGTGCCTCAAGCGAGCGGTCAAGAATGGAGCGGATTTGTACGCCGTCCATCTAACCGAATCGACGGAACAAAACAAGGCGACCGACATCAACAAACTCTGCGATTCGGTCCCGGATGACTTGGCGAAACTCATTCGGGAATATCCTGAGATTTTCCCTGACGACTTGCCAAGTGGACTGCCACCCGAACGACCCCAGGACCACAAAATCGAGCTCGAGCCCGGCGTGCAGCCTACTGTACGCACGCAATGGCGCCTGACTCAGCCGGAGCTACAGGAGTTACGGAACCAGTTGGACTACCTGTTGGCGAAAGGGTTCATTCGGCCGAGCACTTCACCGTTCGCAACACCAATTCTGTTCACGCCAAAAAAGGACGGCGGCCTTCGCATGTGTACGGATTATCGTGCCCTTAATCGGGTAACGATAAAATCGCGCTACCCAATCCCACGAACGGACGAATTGATCGACAACCTTCGCGGAGCTCGTTACTTTTCGAAGATCGACCTTCGTGGCGGTTACCATCAAATTCGAGTGTTCGCTGACGACTGTCACAAGACCGCGTTTCGTACTCGCTATGGGAGTTACGAATACACGGTGATGCCATTTGGATTAACAAACGCCCCCTCGACGTTTCAACTCACCATGAATGGGGTATTCCGCGATCTACTCGACAAATGCGTAATAATTTACCTGGACGACATCCTGATCTACAGCAAGACCCGGTAGCAGCATTTACAAGATTTGGAAGTAGTTTTTCAACGGTTGCAGCAGCATCGACTCATCACCAAGGGCTCCAAGTGCGAGTTTTTAAAACAAGAACTGGAGTTCCTGGGGCACGTGATCTCCACGGAAGGGATTCGCATAGACCCGAAAAAACTCAGGGCTATTCAGGAGTGGAAACCGCCCACAAATCTGCAGCAGCTGCAATCCTTTTTGGGTTTCGTGAATTACGTGAAGAGGTTTATCCCCAACATGGCGGGGTTAACTGGACCTCTAACCGACCTACTGCAGAAAGGGACTTTTTACGAGTGGGGGGAGAAGCAGCAAGCTGCGTTCAAGGCATTAAAAAACCTTTTAATATCGCCACCGGTACTTCGCATCGCTGACCCGGAACGGCCCTTCGAAGTCATCACCGACGCAAGTGACATCGCCATCGGAGCAGTGCTCATGCAGGATTTCGGCAATGGGCTTCAACCAATCGCGTACGAGTCTCGGAAAATGCAGTCTGCTGAGCGCAACTATCCAGTACACGACAAGAAGATGCTGGCGATCGTCCACGCGTTCAAAATCTGGAGGTGCTACCTGACTGGAGCAGACATGACGGTGCGAACTGATCACAAATCACTACAGTATCGGAGGGCGCAGCCGAATCTCAACCCGCGGCAGATACGCTGGCTGGACTATCTGGAGTCGAATTTCACGTACAAAATCACGTATAAAAAGGGCGCCAACAATATCGCCGACGCCCTTTCCAGACCATCTGCCCAACTCGCAGCGGTACTAGTCGCCCAGAGCAACCCGCTACTGAGTGGACTATTTACCCACGGGTATTCGACTGACCCCTTCTTCGTAAATGACGGCCATCTTCCAATCACTACACGGAAAGGCGTCTATTACTTACGAAGCGGAACAGATCGAATTTGGGTCCCAAGTTATCGTCTACTTCGCGAATTACTAATTCAAGAAGTCCACGATTCGAATTTATCGGGACATTTCGGGGTTGATAAAACTCTGAAGGCGTTGCAGCGGTTTTATTACTGGCCAGATATGGTGACGGACGTGCAGCGTTACGTGGCCGCGTGTCCGATCTGCCAGCACATGAAATCCTCACACCAGCGACCTACAGGACTGTTGCAGCCCCTCGAGCCACCTCAACGCCCATGGCAACACGTAACGATGGATTTCGTTACGGGACTACCGGCCGGACCTAGCGGAAACGACGCGGTTTTGGTTGTCGTCGATCGATTAACGAAAATGGCGCATTTCGCACCATGTCGTACAACCATCACAGCCGAAGAAACAGCGCGCCTGTTCATCTCGACCGTTGTTCGTCTACACGGGATACCAGCAGCAATCATTAGCGATCGAGATCCGAAGTTCACGTCAAAATTCTGGCAGGACACGTGGGCTCGGTATGGCACGCGTCTACAGTTCTCATCCGCTTATCATCCCCAAACGGACGGCCAGACGGAAAGGACAAATCAAACGATGGAGCCGCTGATTCGGACAAACTGCCCCGACCGAAACAAATGGGAGGACGTGCTGCCCATGTTGGAATTTTCCTACAACAACGCGCCCTCGGCTACGACTAATCACTCCCCGTTTTATCTCAACTACGGGATGGACCCTACAGTACCAGTCTCCACCAACGTTGAAAGTCAAGTACCACGATCGCAGCAGTTCGTCGAAGAATTACAGACTGCCCGAAACAAAGCTGTCGAACTTATTCGCAAGGCAAACACTACTGCCCGACGGTATGCGGATTTACATCGACGGGATATTACGATGACGACAGGGCAACTAGTCCTTTTGGACACCAAGAATTTACGACTGCCACTACCGACAAAATTACGACCACGTTTCTGTGGCCCGTTCAAGATCGTGAAGATGGTGACGCCGGTGACCGCTCAACTGCGCCTACCTGATGACTGGCGTATTCACAACAAATTCCATGTGAGCCTGTTGCGACCCTTCGTTCCTGACACGTCGGACATCGCCCGACAGCGATTGGTCCCCGACGTACGGCCACCAGCCGAGACAACCATCGAGCCTTCGAAGATCTTGAGCCATCGGATTCGTATCGACGGTCGAGGACGATACGTTGACTTTCTGATACGATGGACCAATCGTACCAGTGAGGATGACACGTGGGTGCCCTCGGACCAGATACAGTCACCTTCGCTACTTGCGAATTATTTGGACCGCAAGCACGTGGCTGATATAGATCACCTTCGCTAAGGGGGGGGGTGGTTGTCAAAAGACTAGCTTAGCTAGGAAGCCATAGAATGGCACAAGGTTTAGCTAGGAGCTAGGAGGAGCCATGAGAATGGCGAGAGGTTTTAGGTGCTAGGAAAGTTGAGGAGAGAAAAAAGTTTGGGAATAGAAGAGAGAGGGATACAAGGAGGGGTGTTGTACCCTTTACAGTAAAGTTCAGTAACCTACCAAGCCTAACAATTATATAACACAATATATAATTTTAACACACCCCCTAGGCTTGGTAGTCACATGCCCACACACACCCACACCCCCTAACCTAGCACCCCCATTCCAGCCACAGTGACAGCGACTCTAGGTCGGTCGACCCCACGGCGCGTGAGGCGGCGACGTCGACCGCAGGGGCTGCGGCGGCGACGGTGGCAGCGGCGGCAGTGTCAACAGCGGCGGCGGCGTGCGGCTGCGTGGCCCCGACGCAAGCGGCGACAGCGGCGGCGGCGGCGGCGGCACCCGCACCTCTCGGTGACGTGGCCAGGCCCCGCGACGGTGGGACGGCCGGCGGGAGTCAGCCGTCGTCTGCGGAATGGAAGAGGGCACAGGGGAAGGAGGGGGGTGGGGGGGGGGGCGCCACAGGCTGACATGCGGGCGGCCGGTCTAGCGGCGCCACAAGCGTCACGCGGCCGGCTGCAGCCCGACGACGCCGTCATGGAGCGGCGTCGATGCCGCAGCGGGGCGTCGACGTTGCGACGGCAGCACGACGTCGCCGTTACGCCGACCGCGCGCTGTCGCGTAGACGCCGCGGCAGCGTGACGGCGCCGTCACGTCGCGACAGCATCTTGACGCGACGGCGGAGCTGCGGCACGACGGCACGGCCACAGCAGCTGGACGCGGGCGCCATGGACGTCGACGGCGGCGCCGCGGCATGACGACGCGGCCACAGCAGCTTGACGCGGCCGCCATGGCAGCGCGAGATAGAGAGAGAAACGAGCACGCAGCGGAAACGCGAGGAGCAGGCCCACGCGGAACGAACTGCTCTAATACCATGTCAAAAGACTAGCTTAGCTAGGAAGCCATAGAATGGCAGAAGGTTTAGCTAGGAGCTAGGAGGAGCCATGAGAATGGCGAGAGGTTTTAGGTGCTAGGAAAGTTGAGGAGAGAAATGAGTTTGGGAATAGAAGAGAGAGGGATACAAGGAGGGGTGTTGTACCCTCTACAGTAAAGTTCAGTAACCTACCAAGCCTAACAATTATATAACACAATATATAATTTTAACAGTGGTGTAAGGAATTTTCCATTCCTTACCGAGCGGTACTGCTATCGCGTACGCTCGAACACACCCGAAGCCTCGGGACTGTTCTAGACCTTCTGACAGAACCGCCTCGGCTTCTCCAGACCTTTCGGTTCGACCTTTGGGAGTTCTCCGGGCCTCGCTTCGTCACTTCGAGACCCTTCGATCTCCTTCCCGAACCTTACCATCGCAGGGTTAGACTAGCTCTGGTGTTCCTATATCCTGGCTTGCCATTCCTTGTATCGTCATTCATGGAGTGAACACTTTGTTATTCATTTCCGCGCTACTCTGCTTGTTCATTCATAACAAACTTCGTTGATTCAATCACCACAATGGAATCGATATCAGCAATATCCGTCGATTACATATTTACCCCTCAAGTACTGCAACTGAATACTCAAACCCGAATGACTACTGTACAACAAATTGGTTAGTAGGCTACAATTATCTTTGGCAAAATCCCGGTAGCGATTGCGACATATCTCCAGCTTCAAAACGGGGGTTGTGGTGTGAAGCAGCGAGTAGTGGTAAGTAGTGGCTTCCGTCCACCTCTAACCCAGTTGGTTGGAGTGGAAGTCACATCGCTCAATGTATGGCACCACTAGTACTACTGAATGGAGGGAACAACAGGTGGTCCCTGGTTCCCTGAATGCTTGCAGAGGGCCCAATAAGCCCGAGGGTGCTGTTGGTTGGGTGGTTGCGTTGCTCCGTGGTCCATGGTCCCAGCACACACGAGGGGAGAGGGGGTGGGGGAGGTGGGGAGGTGGGGTGGGGAGGTGGAGAGGTGGGGGGGAGGACTTGCTGCAGCACCAACGGGCAGCAAGGGGCTGCCAGTGGCAGCAGCATGTGCTCTGCAGGGCTGTGAGGGAGCGAGAGCGAGAGGGGGAAAGTGAGAGCAAGACGAATGTTGAGTAACGGGGTGGGGGGGAGGGTGGGGGGGGGGAGGGGGGGAGTGTAGGCACGCAGAGGGAGGGAGAGGGAAATAGCTGGGGACACCAGGAGAGTGGTTGGGGGGGGAGGGTGGGGGGGGCGTTTGAGGAGTAGCAGGGATGGGAGGAGGGGGGGTGGTTGGGGGGAGGAGGGAGGGGGGGGGGGCGGGGAGGGGGGGTGCAGCAGTTGGTGGTGGGTGGTGCATGCATCAAGGTGCAAGGAGCACAAGGTTGCGCCTGAGAGAGGTGACGAGGGAGGGAGGCAGCAGAGAGAGAGTGTGTGCGTCCACCACCACTCTTGTCAATGGCAACCCTGCCAACTCAGTCAACCCGCTGCTGCTTTCACCGCCACTGCTGCTGCTGCTGTTGCTGCTGCTGCTGCTGCCACCGTTGCTGGCGATACAGTGGTCTGTGGCAAGGCGGGGGCAGTGCAGCAGAGCAAGGGAGGAGAGCGAGGAGAGGCGGGCCATGCCGTGCGGGAGAGCGGTGAGGGCGGGGCAGTTGAGCAGGACCAGGCGGCGCAGGGCGGGCAGGTCGCAGAGGGAGGACGGCAGGAAGCGCAGGGCAGAGCAGTTGATAAGCTCTAAGACGTGCAGCGAGGAGAGGTGCTGCAGGGAGAGGGTGAGATGGTGTATCCCGTGGGATGGCGGTGCTGGTACTGCTGGAGCTGCTGCTGCTGGTGCCGGTGCTGCTGCTGCTGGTGCTGCTGGTGGTGGTGTTGAGGAGGCCACAGAGTGGAAGTAGAACTGGAGGGTGGCCACAGGAGTGCCTCCAGCCACACCATCCGCCCACCGCCACTCCTCACTCCCTCTCCCAAAACCCTGCTGCCGCTTCCCCTGCCTCCCTTGCATCTCCCACTCCCACCCACGAAACCCCACTCCTTCCTCCCCGTCCTCCTCCCCCTCCTCCTCTCCAGCCTTTCCTCTCCTCTGCTGCTCGAACCCAAAGGCGTTTTCACCCAAATCCCACTGTCTGCTGCCAGGCGTCACTACAGCAGCAGCCGCAGCAGCACGCTGCGCATATGCTGTTGCTGATGCCGATGCCAACTCTGCTGCTGCTGATGCCGATGCCAACTCTGCTGCTGCTGCTGTGGCTGCTGCGGCTGCACCAACGAGTGCATCCGACGAGGGTGGGGGCCGGGTTTCGGAGAAATCCAGAGTGAGGCAGCGGAGGGAGGAGAGGAGGTGGAGGGACGGAGGGAGCGTGTGAAGGCCGATGTTCGACCGGAGCACCAGCCGCTGCAGGCCCTGTGCATTGCCAATTGAGTCAGGCAGGCATGCCAGCCCTCCTGGTCCGTCCTCCTCTTCCCCGTCCTCGCCCTCCTCCCCATCTGCTGCTCCCTGCTGCGTCACCTCTGCTCCACCCCACCCCCCCTGCTGCTGATGCTGCTCTTCGTCTTCCTCCTCCCCATCCTCCTCCCCGCCACCATCCACCCGGTTGTCCACATAAATAGTCCCAAGCTTTTCAAGCTGCCCCAATGACTCGGGCAGCGAGCCCACAGAAAAGCACTGCACCAGGCGCAGGACCCCGAGATCGCTCAAGCTGCCCAGAGATTCGGGCAGCGCCGAAAGCTCGTAGCAGCGCCTGAGATCCAGTACCCTCAAGCACTGAAGCTGGGAGAAAGTTAGGGGTAAGTTGGTTAAACCACATGCCTCGGAATCATCAGCAAACCCTCCGGAATCGAAAATTAATTCCTCTAAAGCCGCTAAATATTCAATGCTTTCGGGCAGCTCGGTTATCCTCGGGCAGCCGCGAACTTCGAGCCGACGAAGACTTGAGAGCCCTCCTATAGTTTCGGGCAAAGAAGAAATAGCTCCAAGCCAGGAGGCACTACCGGTCATGTCTATAACGAATTCGGTCAGTTTGTTAAGGTGCCCGATGCTCTCGGGCAGCTGCTGTAAAGAGCAACAGCAGCGGATGTGCAAAAGCTCTAGCGACGATAATCTGCCCAGGGATTCGGGCAGTCTGCGAATGCAGTCGAGGCTGATCAGGCGAAGCTCCTGAAGATTTACCAGCTGCCCGATCTGGTCGGGCAGGGAAGCTAACTGCCAGCAGCAGACTAAAGCGAGCGAGCGGAGATTAATCAGACTCCCAAGGGAGCGAGGGAGGGAGATGAGGCCTAGCTTGCATGCACTGTTGTTGACGGTGAGGGAGGAGAGAGAGGTGAGACAGGAGAGTGTGGGAGGGAGTGTGCGGTTGTAGCGGCCAGTGCAGAGCGAGAGCGCTTGCAGGTTGGTGCAGGAGAGAAAGAGGGCATCCAGGCTTGATATCGACCGGCACTTGGTGCGATCCATACCATTGGGCTGGGCATCCAACGCCAGCTTCACCAGCCGCCCCCCACACGCAGAAAGCGCTCCCACCACATCATCCCCCTCCTCCTCCACTGCATCCCTCCCCAGTGCCACACACTGTAACCCCGGGTACCGCCCCGGGTTGGCTAGACACAGCAGGAGATGGCCGTTGGGGATGCGGGCGCCCGGGGGGAGGAGGAGGGAGGAGAGGGAGGTGCGCATGAGGAGGGAGAGGCGGCGGCAGGTGAGGAGGCAGGAGGCGATGTCGCAGGGGTGGGAGATGCGGGGGAGGATGAGGGCCAGGAGGGCGTCTGGGAGGTCGAGGAGGTGCGTGGTAGGGGGGAGCGGCGGGGGCAGTGTGGGCAGTGGGGGCAGTGTGAGCGGGGTGGTCTCTTGAGGGAATCCTCCTTGAGAGAATTCGGAAGCTCTCCATTTGAGCTCGAGCAGTACGGGGGGCTCCTCATCCTCCTCCTCATCCTCCTCGTCCTCCTCGTCCTCCTCGTCCTCCTCATCCTCCTCGTCATCGTCCTCACACTCACTCCCCACCCTGCTCCCTCTTCCTCCCCCCTCACACCCCCCCTCCTCTTCGCCTCTCCCCTCACCACCCTCCGCTCCCGCCCCTGCTCCCCCCTCTGCTCCCTCCTCCGCTTCTCCAAAGCCTGCAGCCGCTGCCCTGTCGCCCAGTTCACCCCTGCACCGCGCGTGTTCCCGTGCCTCTGAGCTCCCGGCCTCCCTCCCTTCGCCCCAGTACGGCAGCAGCCACCACTCGCACTCGCCCCATGCAACCGCCACGCCTGTAGGGTACGGAGGGTCCCAGCCAGGGGTGGACAAAGGGCAGAGAAGGGCGGAGAAGGGGAGTGGGTGCGGGGGAGGGGAAAAGGGGAAGGGTGCAAGGCAATGAGGGGGCATGTCCCTTTTCTGGTGGCATAGGGTTCTGGGTTACATGAGAAGAAACGGCTCGATGCTATTTCTGGTCACTTGATTTGCAACAATCAAGGGGGGGATACCGTTGGCGTGGAATCACGAGGACATTCCAGGAGAAAGGGGAGACGAAGGTGACTGTTGAGTCGACTAAATAGTCTCTAACGTTGGCATGGAATCAGGAGGATGTTCCAGGAGAAAAGAGACGAAAGCAGCAACACAAGAAGAAACAAGGAGGCTGTAGGGAATAGTGGAGAGGTAGGTTGGAAGGGGAGGGAGGGAGCGAGGGAGGGGGGTGGGATGGGGGAGGGGGAGCAGGTGGTTTAAAGGAGCCTATTTTTGAGTGGCCTCAAAACGAGGGACAGGTGGTTGAAAGGGCGAAAACTGGAAAGATTAAAGGAAGAGAGTAGAGGAGGGGATATAAGGGGAAGGGGAGAGATAAAGGGACAAGACCGTTTTCACGAGGGCGCTTGAGCAGGGGGGCAACCTGCGGGCGAGCCAGAAAGCAACCCCGCCACCGCTCCTGCCGCTGCCGCTGCTTCCGCAGTTGCCGCTGCCGCCGCTGCGGCAACAGCCGCAGCAGTAGGGGAGCGAGGGGTGGAGCGAAGCGGGAGGAGGAGTAGCGGGTGTGGCACGGCTGGCCTTAGATGCTCTAGCTCTTCCAGTGGCACGTCAAATTCGTCCTCCTCGCCTCCCATTCCCGGCATCTCGCTCTCATCACTTCCACTCCCCATCCGCACACTCCAGCTGCCCACGCTCTCGGGGGTAAGGCCCTCTGCTGTGCTGTCCCTGGCGCTCTCAGGTGACGTGTCAGGTGAAACGTCAGGTGACGACTTTCCAGGCAGTGGATATGTCCCGTTCAGAGGCGGCGCAACAGCCGTGGTTCTCCAGGTGCCTCTACTGCTCACAACCACTGCTCTGTTCCTATCTGCTTCCCCACCCGCCTCTCTCCCTTCTTCTCCTGCTTCTCCTGTTTTTCCTGCTACTTCACACTGGTGGGATTCAGCTCCCCTCCTTGCTCTAAGCCAACTTCTGCTTCTGGGCTTGCCCACAACGTCTCCTTCCTCTCTCCCCTCCTCTGTACCCTCCTCTGTACCCTCCTCTGTACCCTCCTCTGTACCCTCGTACTCTGTACCCTCCACCATGCCTGGCATCATGCCGCTATCCGATTCACTCTCGCTGTCCTCGTACCCGCCTCTCCTCGCCTGCTCACCGTGCCCTTCTTCTCCCCCATCCTCTCCCTCCTCCTCGTCGTCCTCCTCCTCCCCCTCCCCCCCCACCCCGGCCTTCCTATCCAACATACTCAGCATCTCCCCTAACCGCTCTACCTCCTCCTCTTCCTCTTCCTCCTCCTCTTCCACCTCCTCATCCCTACAATCCTCCTCCTCCTCCTCCTGCTCCTCCTCCTCCTCCTCCTCCTCCTCCTCCTCCCCATCCTCTTCAGTCACCGCTCCCCACTTCCTCCTCCCCGTCCCCACCGTCCGCCATTTCTTCCCCTTCATGGCAGCGTCGAGGCTATCCAGCCGTAACTCTCTCAACCTAGCCGCATCTGGCCCCGGGCTTAGCCCCAGCTGCCAGAGCCCTTGCTCCGACCACGGTTGTGCCGGGAAGGGGGGAGGGGGCGGGGTTCCTGGGCAGGGGGACAACGGCGGTAGGGACTGGGGGGGAGTGAGGAGTGAGGGGGGGCGACGCGCGGAGTATTGAGAGGGAAAGGAGGTGGAGCCCGAGGGGGAATGGGGGGAATGGGGGGCCGGCTGGGAGGAGTCACGGGGGCGGGGGAGGGTTATGGATGGAAGGGAGCTTGTTTCGCCCGATGGAATTGGCTCCTGGTCTTTCTGTCCAATGGAGGTGGAACCCGAGGGGGAATGGGGGGAATGGGGGGCCGGCTGGGAGGAGTCACGGGAGAGTGGGAGAGTTGTGGAGCGAGGGGAGCTTGTCTCATCCGATGGAAATGGCTGCTGGTCTTTCTGTCGCTGCTCGTCCTCCTCTTCCCTGACTTCCTCGTCTCCCTCCTCTAGCCTTCCTCGTCTCCTTCCTACCACATCGCCGGCCACCTTGAATGGTCCTTCACCGGCCACCTTTGCCAAGCCGTCTTCCTTTCCCTCGTGCTTTGCTAGCCGCTTCCATTTCACCTCCTCCACCTCCTTTTCTTCCCTCTGCTCCTCGTCTCTCCTGGCCTCTACTCTCACCCCATCCCTCCACACCAGTCCGAGCCCACTCCTCGCCTCCCCTCCTCCTTTCTGCACCTCCTCCCCTCCTCCTTCGGCCACTATCAGCCTGCTAGTGGCAGTAGATCCCACATCATCCTCCCCAGTCTCCCCTTCTGGTTCAGCACCCTCCTCTCTCTCCCCACTCTCCTCACCCTCCTCACTCTTCTCACTCCCCTCGCTCCCCACACTCCCTCCACTCCTTCTGCTCTCGCCGCTCCCAGCTGTGTCTGTTTCGTGCGAGCCCTCTGTGGTCTCAGACCCGCTGCTGCTGCTCGTTTCGTCCCCCGCGCCCTCCTCCAGGTGCGAGTACCAGGCAAGCAGGTTCGTCACTATGCGCTCCGGTGCCTCGATGCTGGACGCAGGGCGGGGGGAGGGGGGTGGGGGAGGGAGGGGGTTAGAGCGAGAGGGGAGAAGTGGTGGTGGTGGTGTTGGTGGTGGTGATGGTGATGGGGAAGGATGATGCAGTGAGTAGTTTGTGGTGATACAGCAGTGATAGCAGGTGACAGCGCATGACTTACTCTCTCTCTGCTGCCTGTGTCACCACATCCTCCAATAGCTTCAACTCCTGCTCAGCACAGACACACACACAGAGGCACACAGAGGCACACACAGGCACACACAGGCACACACAGGCACACACGTATGCATCCAGGCACGCACATGCAATCACCAAGCACACAGGAACGGAAGAAAAATCAAAGGAAGAGAACGAGGGGCCGAAATCAACCTGCAGGTTTTCAATTGCACTGGGAGGCCCATGCTGCTTTTGAGTCAACTCAAAATCGGCAGCTTTTCAATTGCACTGGGGCGCCCATGCAGTAACAGCACCGCCTTCCATGCCACCCCTTCTCAGTTTTTTTAGAATTCTCACCCCCGTCTGGTCTCACCCGTCTGGTCTCACCCCCCCCTCTTCTCTCCTTCCCCCTCCCCCCCCCCCTCCTCCCCTCTCCCCCTACTGATCTCCTTCCCCGCGCTATTCCCCCTCTCGTTCAGTCCCGTTCTTGCCCTTCCCCTCTCCCCCCACCTACCCACCTCGCCCCCCCTCTCCCGCCCTCTCCCCCCCGCATACCACAGTCTCATCAGACGACTCTTCCTCGGTCAGTGCTGGTCGCGAGCAGAAGAAGAGAAAGAAGCTTGCCTCCTCCTCCTCCGCCTGCTGCTGCTGCCCTTGCCCCTGCTCCGCGCCTCCTCCCCCATCCCCCTCCCTTCCCTCGCCGTCTTTTCCACTTACGCCACTCCTCTCCCCAGCAGCGTCAGCAGGAGCAGCTGTAGCTGCTGCTGCTGCTGCTGGCTGTGTGAACCAGCCAAACCAACCACCAGGGCCGGACGCAGAGGCAGCAGAGGCAGCCGCAGCAGGAGCAGGAGGAGCGGCCGCGACGGTAGCGGCAGCAGAGGTTGACGCAGTGGCAGTGGTTGCATGAATGGTGGCAGTGGTGGTGGGGATGGAGGAGAGAGGAAGGGAAGATGCAGAGAAAGAGCGAGAGGAGGGGAGGGACGGTCTCTTGGTGACGTCCTTGCCAGGAAGCCAGTGGATGGTGGAACTGGGGGGGGGGGGGGGGGGGGAAGAAAGAAAGAGGTGGGGGGGAAAGGAAGAGGTGGGGGGGAAAGGAAGATGTGAGACCAGGAGAAGGTGTAAGGGGTGGTGGGTAGGCTGAGGGGAGATCGAAATGGGCAGTGGGGTATGGGTGCAGTGGGGTATGGGTGCAGGAGCAAGGCAGCACTGACCCTTGGATGCTGGAGAAGAGAGGGTCCCCGTAGCGGATCCTGTCCTTCACTATGTACGTCTTGGTCAGCTGTGCACAAGCACACCCGCAGCACACACGCAGCATGCACGCAGCACACACGCGGCATGCATGCATACACACGAATTCGTAGGGAGGTCAAGTGGGTGGATAAGGCAACCGGAGGATGAATTTGGACGGTGGACGGTACGTGTGAAAACAGTCTGAACAGGATGACGGTACGTGCGCAAATCACCCAAAGCCTCCCTCAAATATGTGAGCTCAACTTCAAGCTTTGAGATGTCTCAAACCTCGCTCCAGAAAGCAATGGCTGGCTAAACGGTGACAAAGACAAGCCTGCCCTCGTCCTTTCACTATGCGACTATCTGATTGCATCGGCGGTGCACTCTCCACTCCGTGTGTGTGTGCATGTGCGCGTGCGGCACACCGCGTGCGCTCGCTCAGCGTGCGGGTGTGCGGCGCTGAATTTCTAGTCGCCTCAAAAGTCAGAATGCACCCGGATTGTTAACCTCCCACTGCATATCCGTGTGTGTGAGTCACAGTGTGATGTTACACTGGTGCTGCAAAGTAATGCTTGCAGCGGTGGGGTGTCAGTCTCACCCGGATGTTACCGAAGAAGGGGTTGGCTCGGAACAGAACCTCCACTCGCGCTCCCTACGGTGTCGGCCGTGTCATGCAATGGAGGGGACGGAACAGGGGAGGAGAGCAGAGCAGAGCAGATTACAGCTGAGCAGAATAGAACAGAGGGTAAAGAGAGAGAGTGTAACGTGAGTTTCAAGGATGAGAGGAGCGTGCTCATGGCGTGCTCATGACAGGACGGGAATCACAGGCTGGGCTGGGCGCATGTGGCTGTCGGACTGTCAGTCATGAGGGTACAGCCGAGCTTGTGGTGGAGAACCAAGTGGTCGGTGGTAGAGTGATCATGTGGGTGGGTAGGCTGGGTAGGCTGGGTAGTATGGGTAGGGTGGGTGTAGGGTGGGTAGGGTGGGTAGAGTGGGTAGGGTGGGTAGAGTGGGTAGGGTGGGTAGAGTGGGTAGGGTGGGTAGGGTAGGTAGAGTGGGTAGGGTGGGTAGAGCGGGTAGGGTGGGTAGAGTGGGTAGGGTGGGTAGAGTGGGTACTACCTTGGCGCTGTTGGGGCAGTCGAGTATCCGAATGTCTTGAATGAACTGCAGAGGGCCCTCGTCACGGGCCGTGATCTGGGGCGAGGGGGAGCAGGAGGGAAGGGGGGGAGAGAGGAAGAGACAGGGGAAAGGGACGAAGAGAGGGGTGTGAGAGATGGAGCATCGAAGGTGAGGAGGACTCCATACGTCTGATTTCCGTGAGTCAACATGGACACACACACGCACGCACGCACGCACGCACGCACACACACACATGCAACTGCATACAGTGTGTACGGGAGAAGGGTGCAAGCCTGTAAGCCTGCAGGCGAGTGTGCTTGCTGCTGCCCACCTTGGGACCAATGAGCGGGTGCGACTTGAGGCAGTTGAGCCAGCGGCGGGGGTTGGCGGGGGGTGCGGTTCTGCTGGGCGAGAGGGAGCGAGGAGTGGAGGAGGGCGAGGAGAAGAAGCTGAGAGCACCGGACGATGCTGCCACAGATGGACTGTTGCCCGCACTGCGACTCCTTGCCGCTGCACCAGATGCACTAACAGCAGCAGCACCACCACCACTAGCACCACCAGCACCACTACCACTAGCACCAGCAGCACCAGCAGCGCCGGCAGAAGAACCGGCAGAACCGGCAGCATGGGAAGCAGCAGCGGTAGCGGCAGTGGTGATGCGCTTGAGGTGCGGCAGGGAACGCTGTGAGTGCAGCGAGGGGAGCGGCAGCGCGCCAAAGGATGAGGAGGCGGTGAGAGGGGGCTTTGAGAGAGGAGCAGTGGAGGCGAGGGAGGAGAAGGATGAGGAGAAGGAGGAGGAGGAAAAGGAGGCAGTTGCGATAGGAGGTGCCGGGAGAGGGGGGCGCGCCAAGCGAGTGGAGGAGGAAGAGGAGAGGGATGCGCCGGATTGGCTTATACCCTCCACTCCCTCCCCTCCCCTGCTCATTCCTGCCCCTCTCGGGCTTATTATCCCTCCTGACTTGGGACTAACCAGTCCGCCTGCCCCTCCTGCCCCTCCTGCCCCCCCTGCCACACGAGACCTGGGACTGGGTATGCCGGCCCGAACTCCTATGCTGCGGCTGCGCTGCCACGGCTTCACCCGCCCTCCCTGTGACCCCACGGGGGACACCTCCACTGACGGCGCCTGCTGCGAGGGCGAGGGTATCTCCACTGACGCTGCTTGCTGCGCGGAGGAGGGTATTTCCACTGATGATGCTGGTCGCTGCGAGGGGAAGGTTGGCTCGTGGGTGGACGCCAGTTGCACCGCTGGTGTTGTGTCTGGCGCCTTCTCTGCTGTTTGTTCTCCTGTTCCCTCGCCTGCAACCCCCCATCTCTGCAGCCCAGCAGAAGAGAAAGTATGCTCAGCAGGCGCTTCTCCCTCTCGCAACTGACCCACACATGCCCTCTTCTCCTCTGTGCCAACCACTGCTCCGCCCTCTTCCTCTCTCATTCTCCCGTCCTTGCCCTCGCCCACCAACCCTGCCACACCCTCTCCCTGCCCCCTTTCCACCTGGAGCGCTCTCGTGCTCGCGCCACCGCCTGCAGCTGTGCCCCCGCTCTCTCCCCCAGCGGTGTCCCTCTCTTTGAGTCGACCCAGAAAGCTGCCCACACTCTCGCCCTCGGCAGTGTCCCTCTCCCCCGCTGACTGCTCTTCCAAGGGTGAGGCGGGGGAGAAAACCAGCACGCGGCCAGGGGGAGGGGGGAGAGGAGGGGTGTGGGGAGCCAGGAGTGCTGAAGCGGAGGAGGAGGAGGTGGAGGTGGACGAGACGGTGGGAGGTGAGAGGGTGGAGGAGGAGGAGGTGAGAGAGGAGAGAGGGGATGGGGAGGCGGTGGAGGGGGAGGAGAAGATGCGCTTGTCTCTGATGTGCGGGGTGCACGGGGCATGTGCGGACATGGATGGGTCAGGAGACCCGAATTGGAATTCAGCATGCGGTGGTAGTGCTGCAGCTGCTGCTGCTGCTGCTGCTGCTGCTGTCTCTGCCCCGCCTGTCAGCTTTCCTCCTGCTGCGTCCTTGCCTGGCGCAGCTTCTTTGTTATCTTCTGCGCTCTCGTCTCGTTCTCTGTGACCTTCCCCCTCTGCCGCTCCCCCCTCTTCCCTCTCCCGTGCTTCTGCTGCATCTCTCACTGCTGCCCTGCCTTTTGTCCCTGCACGCTCCGCCTTCCCTCCATCCTCACTCTCACTCCCACCATCACCATCACTATCCCCACGTCCTATGCCGCCCCTGTCCTCCACCTCCTCCCCCTCTTTCACACTCCCCCCTATCAGCCATCCCCTTGATTCTGACGGCAGCAAGAAGCCCTCACCAGACCCAGACGGGTTGTTGTGAGTGCTATGATGCTGATGGTGCTGATGATGGTGATGGTGCGCCTCACCACTCCCCAGCTTCTCAGACGGCAACAAAAAGCCTCTGCCCGAACCAAACGGGTCCAGATCACTCCCCCCGCTGCGGTACCGCAACAACCCCCCGCTTCCCTTCTCCCACCACCGACTCCCCTCCTCCTCCTCCTCCTCCTCCTCCTCCTCCTCCTCCTCCTCCTCCTCCTCCTCCTCCTCCTCCTCCTCCTCCTCCTCCTCCTCCTCCTCCTCCTCCTCCTCCTCCTCCTCCTCCTCCTCCTCCTCCTCCTCCTCCTCCTCCTCCTCCTCTTCCTCCTCTTGCATTGGTGCTACCCCCTCTTTCCACGCCTCTCCACTCATGCTGTTTCCTTCATGCTCTTTTGAGGTGATAGGGCTGGTAGCAGCAGCACCAGCAGCGGCACCAGTGGCATCATCAGAAGCTGGAGGTTCAGCTAGTTCTGTTCTGGTGTTGCTGGTGCCAAAGAAGAGAGAGAAAGGGGAGAGGAGGGGAGAGAAGGGGGTGCTTGCAGGAGACGCAGAGGCAGGTGGGGGAGGCGAGGGTGGTGCTGACACTGTGAGTGCTGCTGCTGCGGCAGCACCTGCTGCTGCTGCTGCTGCTGCAGGCTGTGTTGGTGCGGCAGCGGGAGGAGAGGAAGAGGGCGATGGAGAGAAGAAGGGGTTGAAGGATGGAGAGACCGTCGAGGACACAGATGACGACGATGATGATGATGGTGATGTTGCACCCGTGGAGTGCAACACCCCGTCCACATGTTCCCCACTACTGTCTTTCACTTCTTTCACTTGCTCCCTCTGCCCCGCCCTCCCTCCAGCGTCCCACACCCCCACCACCACCTCTCTCTCCTCTCCCTTCTCCTCGGCCTCCACCACCACCACCTCTTTCACCACCACAACCTCCTCCTCTTCCTCCTCCGCTTCCCCCCCCTCCGCGCCCTCCTTTCCCTTCTCCTCGACCTCCTTCGTCTCCTCCTCCTCCTGCTCCATCTCCTGTGCGCCAGTACTGCCCCCAAGCACCCGTCTCACGAGCCCCCTTCTCAGCCATTCTGCGCTCATCTCATAGTGAATGTCTGTCAGCACCTCCCACCGTGGCTCCTCCACCTCCTCCTCCTCGTCCCCATCATCCCCTCCTCTGCCTCTCCCGAGTTTCCAAAACCGCGAGTAATTTGCCACTTCTCCTTCCACCCTCTCCTCTTCTTGCACCTCCTTATGCCCCTCCTTTCTCTCCCCTCTCTCCTCCCCATCTTCATTCTCCTTCGTCAACTCCTCCTCATCCCCCTCTCTTCTCTCCGCCTCCCTCCTTCCCTCCTCCCGCACAAATGCTCCTGTCGTCGCCTCTTTCCCTCCACGTCCCTCCATCTCCTCTTCTCCTCCTCTCCTCTCTCCTCCTCCCTCCCCCTCTTCTTCCCCCTTCTCCTCTACCTCCCTACAGCTAGACCCAGACTTCTGAAGCAGCCTCATGCCCCACCCAGAGCTACTCACACTGCCCCCATCCCCTCCCTCCACTTCCACCTCCCCCCTCCCTCTCTGCTCCTCACCACATCCGCCTTCCCCAGCCATTCCCTCCCCCTGTTGCACCTCTCCGGTCCCCTCTCCCTGCCCCATGCCCCCCCCACGCCCCAGGTTCCCCGTGCTCCCCCCCCCATCCCCCTCTCCCCCATCGTCACTGCTCCGAATGAGAGCTTTGAGTCGCTGCCGTTGCTCGTCCTGATTCCTCCGTGTCCCCAGCCACCCCATCCTCGCCTTCCCCTGCCCACCTTGTCCCCCTTGCCCCCCCCCTTCCTCCTCCTCCAGTGCCCCTCCCTCCTGACCCCGTTCCTCCCCCCCTCCCTCTGCCCCTCGCGCCTCCGCCAGCTGTGGCGTCTCCCCCCACTGCCTCTGCTGCGCCTGCTGCTTCCCCGGGGGTGGAGGCAGCATAGGCGACGGAACAGCTGCAGCGCCAGCAGCAGCACCCGCCGCAGCCGTGGAAGGAGCAGAAGGAGCAGCAGCAGCAGCAGGAGGAGCAGCACCGGTGCGCCCCCAAGGGTTCCTGCCGTTACCCCCTCCAGCCAGCGCTGCCAGCGCCGCTGCAGCCACCCCCACTCTAGGCCTACTGCCCCTGCCCGCCCCTGCTGCCCCTGCTGCGCCGTATTGTGCAGCATAGCGTGAGGTATAGGCGGGTTGCAGGGAGGCAAAAGCCGCAGCGGTAGGCAGGGCTGCAGGTGCATCTTCCTGGCAAGAAGTTGAGTCCGGTTGGTGGTGGGGCTCGAGAAGGAGATCCAAGGGAGAGGAGGAAGGAGATAGAACCGGGAACGTGGGAGGAAGAGCGGGAGGAGGGGGGGGGCTGGTTGCTGCTGACAGGGTGGAGGTGGCGTGAGGAGCAGCGTCCATATCCGGGGATAAGTACGTTTGAGTCGTTGCTACCAGAGGCAGGGGAGCAGTGGTTGAAGGCAGGTCGAGAGTAAACGAGGCTGGTTGGTCAGGGGAGGTGGGGGGGGGTAGAGGGCGGGGGGAGAGTGGGGAGAGCGGCAGGTGGGGGCGCGCGGACAAGGAGGCAGGGGTGCGGGGGAGCGGAGGGAGACAGTGCGGGGGGACTGGGCGGAAGGGGCGCCAGGGGGCTTCACAGGGGACAGGGGCGTGGGTGCGGTAAGTCTGGAGGCAGCAGAGACGGTGGGGGAGCACTCGTCCCCGCTGCTAGCGCCAGGACCATGCATTGCACCGTGCGCTGCCCCATTGAGCGCTGCACCATTGAGCAGAGCAGCATGATTCTCGGCAGGAGGCCGGTCATCTCCCGGCGTCATGGTGGCAGCGTGGTTTGTGACGGGCTCACGGCCGGCATCCCCACCCGTGCTGTCGCTCCTGCGGTGGCGGCGCAGTGCACCCACGTCGATCCTGTACCGCGCATGCCCACCCATCCTCGCCACTCCACCCTCCCCTGCTCCTGCTCCTGCTCCTGATTCCCTCCCTCCTCTGCCGCTCTCCGCCCCACTCCCTCCCTCACTCCTCCCCCCCTCTGCTCCGCCCCTGTTGCCTTCACTCTCGCTCCCACTCCTCTCCACACCCGCCCGCTCCTTCCCACTCCCTCGCTCGCTCTCACTCACCGTGCTACAGTAGTCCACATCCCTGTCCCCCCCATAGCTATTCCTAAGCCGCCTCATAAATAGACTCTCCCCAATCTCCCCACCACCCTTCCCACTGCCTCTCCCTCCTCCAAACGCCCCTCCCATACCCCCTCCCATGCCTCCCATCACCCCTAAAGACCCCTCTCCCTCCCCTCCCTTCGCACACTCCCTCCCCCTGTCTGCACCCGTTTCCCACCACAGCCCCTTCTCACTCTTCTCCCCCCACCCTCCCCACCCTCCCCCCCGTGCCCTATCTCCTCTGTCCGCCAGGTATAGCTCCCCCCCGGGCCCATATCGCCCCTGCTGCTCTCGCTGCCGTACACGCGGCTTAGGAACCGGCTGTTATCCAGCCCAAACGCCTTGTGCTGCTGCTGACCGCTCTCCCTGCTCTTGCTGCTGCCGCCACTGGGGAAGAAATCGGCCGCCGCTGTTGCTGCTGCATCAGCATCAGCCGCAGTGTCACTATCGCTCCTTGCAGGCTCGCTCCTCCTGCCACTGCCACCACCATTGCCACCACCACCTCCACCACCCTTACCACCGCAGCTGCGCTTCCGTGCTTTGTTGCGCAGGCTGCCTGCCTTCTCCCCTCCTCCTTCCTCCCACCCCTCCTCGCCCTCCCCACTCTCACTCCCCGCGTCCATATCCCTGGACATGTTCCTCCACCACCTCGCATCACTCCCCCCACTCCCTCTGCTCCCCCCCGTCCTCCTCCTCCTCGGCATTCTCATTCCAGCACCCGTCACCCCCTCCTCCCCCTCCTCATCCCCACTACTACCCCCACTACCAGCACCACCACCACCACCATCACTATCAGCGCCACCTACCCCAGCCCCCCCCCTCCCCTGCCTGCTGCCTCCCCCTCTCCTCTGCGCCCCTCTCCCCTCGCACACCGTGTCCTCGTCATCCCCCTCCTCTCCCCGCTCCCCCTCCCCCCACCCCTCCCCATGCCCCCTGCTTCTGCTGCGCCTACCGCCAGGAGTAGTGGGGCCGCGGGAGCGGGGGGTGCGCGCACTGCCATGCGCATGCGCGTGCCCATACCCGGGCACGTGCGCGTGAGCCAGGCTGTGGGGGGTGCGGGGCGTTCTGGGGGTGTGTGGCGTGCGCGGAGTGCGGGGGGTGCGCGGAGTTCGTAGATTCTTAGGGGTTCGGGGTGTGTGCGCCGAGCGGGTTGACTTGTCGAAGTACCCCCCCTCCCCGCCCTGATCTCCCCATCCCTCCCCACTGGCTCCCCTGCGGGACCCTTGGCTTTTCCCGTTCCGCACACTTGCCCTGCTCCTCCCCCCACTCTCACTCCCCTCCTCTCCTTCCTCTCTCTCCTCCTCCCCGGTACCCGACCAACCAGATACAGACGATCTCGACCGTCCATGATTTTTCTCCGTACCCCCCCTCTTTCGGCTTCTCCTCGAGCTCTCTTCATCCTCCCCCTCTTCCCCCCCTGCCTCTTCCTTTCCTCCCTCATCTCCCCTCTCCTTTTCCTGCGCCTCCCCCTCTTTCTCCCCCTCCCTCTCCGCGCGCCTGCTAGATCCGCCGAGGCGGAACGAGCTGCGCCCGCTCCGCTTGCGCCATGCTGCAGCCACCGCCGCTGCTGCGCCCGCGGGGCCCTGCCCGGAAAGGCCCGCACTCGTGCTGGCATCTGAGCCTGCGTGGAGCGGAACGGGGAAAGGCGCGGGGGAAAGGGGAAGGGGGAAGGGGCAAGGCGGAACGGCAGGAGTGGGAGAAAGCGCACAGTGAGCTATTTGCAGAGAGGAGCAGAGGCAAGCAAGTAGGGAGACGCACAAGTCAGGTGTAAAATGATGCCGAGACGAGAACGAAGGGATCGAGCTTGCTTCGTCGATTCGTCGACTCGTCTACACATTCGCTGCCCCTTTCATGCGCAACACGCGCCGTCCGTGCCATCAACCATGGCGTTGTCGTGGCCCTACCTACCAACAACACTCCATATCCCTTCCCTCCCTCCCCCTTCCCCCCCACACCCGGGCCTCCCATCCCCTTCCCCCCTCGAAAACGTCACCTGAGCCCGTACGGGACGGCAGTGACCGCTCGTTACTGTCACGCGCGTCCCGCCCCCCCGACTCCCTGCCGTCCCCCGCTCTCAGCACCGCCGACGACTCGCGGGACGGGTCCACGTCGTCGCCGTAGTCGCCCCACGGCAATCTCGAGGGCGGCGCGCGGCCCAGGTCGACCGCGAGCACGTCAGCGTTTACGTTAGCGTTACCAAGACGAGCAACGCCATCGGAGTCGTCTTCCTCCTCCTCCTCCACAGCTGATGCGAACCAGCGGCCGCCCTTTCCGGGGCCCTTCTGCGCCTGCTGCTGCTGCTGCTGCTGCTGCTGCTGCTGCTGCTGCTGCTGCTTGCGCTTCTCCGGATCGGCATGGTCGTCCAGCCAATCATCGTCGTCGAGCGTAATTCCCGTGGTGTTGAGCCCGGGACCCGGCATGCACATGCACGTCGGCAACGCGAACAGCCCGTTTGCGCGCTTCGTCTTTTTCTTCGCTGCTCGTACGCGCTTTCCCCGCTCGTGCGCGTTGCGCGGCTGCGACGAGCCGTTGTCGCCATGCTCTCTCGCCTTGCCGTCCTTACCGCCCTGGTCTGCGTGTATTGACCCGAGTAAGCTACCCAGCCTCTTCCCCCACATGCCATTCCGTCTGGTCTGTCCGTCAACGTCAACGCTAACGTTCACGAGGGGGCTGCCGTTAGCTTCGAGCTCCGTCTCCGTTCTCGGGGGTTCATTCGACGTGTTCTGGGGAACTGCTGCGGGTTTCGAGGCCTCGCCATCCTCTTGCAGCCTTCCTTTCCGCTTCCCCCATAGCATACTAGCCATACCATGAGGCCACGGGTGCTACCTACCGAAATAGAGACGTTCTCGTTGGGTAAGGCTCGAGCTGCTGCTGTACTGACCACTCATTACTGCTATGGCGCCGGTGTAATAGTACCTCGCTCGGCTGAACTGTCAGCGCTGTGGATGCTATTGAAGTGGGGAGTGGTGGTGAGTCATCGTGAGGATCAACTCAAACCGTCCAGCAGAATTTGACGGGAGAGAGGCAGCGTAAGCGGTAAGCGGCGGGGCGGGCTCCCTCCCTCGCTGATCTTGCCTGCTTTAGGGTTTTTTTTTCGCAGGGGTGCGTATCGGGTTTCCCAAGGTTGGGAGGGAGGTTTGGCGAAGAGAGCTTGTCGCCTGCCCCTCTCACTCTGCCACTATCATGGTGCATTGCCCGGGCAGGGGGTGGACGTGTGCTGGAGATTCGAGTGTCGCACACTGTACAAAACAGTTTTGGGAAGTCAGGTGTGAACTACAGTGTGGTGGTTGGGGCAGTGAAACGGGGCGCGTTGAGGAGATGGCACGGCAGACGAAGAGGCACACCAAAAATCTTTGCAGCCCGCAAAAGGCTGGGAGTGCGATGGACCGACGAGTCGCAGCACAATGTGCCCCTCCTTCGTTAGAAGTCACGTGATACTGCAGAAACCTCTGTTAACCTGAATATGCTGAGCACCACTAACATTAACAAGCAAATCGTATGCTAAGAGAACGATTTAAACCTAGAAAGGAAATTAGCATTAAATTATAATATTTGAATTCATTAAATCAACAAATTAATTTATATTCTGAAATGATATTCAGAGCCATGTATGTGAAATTCATAAGTGAAATATCCATACCATCTCTGTTGTGTGATCAGGATCATTGCAATACCTGGTCTCTGTTTCGGTACTCAATACGCAGCAGCTGATATCGAAGCTGTCATGGTGGGTGGGGAGGACCACGCCCAGCACATTTGCATGCTGACCTCGGAGAGTCTCGTCTCAAGGCCGGAAATCTGGAGGTCTCTAAGCCCTTCTGTCAAGTTATCCCTGTCAGTGTGTTCGCTCGCGCATGTTTGCGAAACGATGCTGCTTTCGCCATGCAGCTCATCTCCTGCTTTTCTGGTATCCATGCAGGAATCCTGCTGCTGTAGAATCGAACCTTCTGGGGTTCTATGAAGCTGTGGGAAAGCTGCCTTGGGCTTGCTCCCCAAACAGTACCACTGCTTTTCAATGGCGGCTGTTGCCACGTTGCGCTCCGCCCCAACCTCTAGCCACCACCAACCAGCCCATTTCACTTAGGACTTGAATCTCTATCGGTAGCAGCGTCCTGAATACGTAGTCTAACAGTCAGCCTAGCCCTGGTTGGTTTTACGGGGGACTCACCACGAATCAGGCATATTATCGGCACATTTTGTGGTTGTATTTGCGAATAGGAGCGAATCTGTTGGTGCGGTCTCGTCAGTTCAGAGTTATTCTGCGGGGCGGATAGCCATCGGCAATCGGCACACATTCCCTACCGGAAATTCAGAGTCGATTTTAGGTCGGTGGTTATTTCAAGGCTTGGCGCATCGTCAGCTTACCGTTGAATTCGACACCTGGATCCTCGCGCTGGGCCTTCACCATTACGCTAACCCGTCTCAAGCACTCTCCTCAAATCGCCTCCCCGGATCGTCCCCCGATGCGATTAATCCACGGCTAATAGGCTCCCTCGAAATCCCCCTAATAAATTCCGGGTAGCAGTAGGACGACCCTACGCTCGCCTGAGCCATGGCGGGTCAACCAGGAGGCAGCGGCCTACCTCCGGCCTCCCCTCTCACCATTCCCATGCCGGCCACACACCTCTCCGGTTCTCCCTCCATGCCCGCCTCGTTTACCAGCCCATCCATCGACCCTAACCTCGCGAATAATCACAATCTCTACCGCAGTGGGAGCGGCGCCGGGGGCTCGCCAGCCATGGCGCCTTCGCGCGCTCCTCCCGCGTCCGACGACGAGCAGTCGCTGCTGGCCGGAGCCAAGGAAATGGAGGCGGCAATATCCGCGCTACTGCACGACCCGGATTTAACTAAGCGCCAGGCCGCGAACGACTGGCTGAATACTTACTGCGGGCAGCCCGTGGTCTGGACCGTGGTGCTGTACTTAGCGTTTCCGCCGCCAGGAGCGGGCGTGGGCGGCGCGGCGGACGTTAGGTTCTTCGCGCTTAACATCCTGCTGAATAAGATGCGGTCGGACTGGGGCCAGCTGTCGCCGGAAGACGCGGCGGAGATCTTCGAGACGCTGGTGCGGCAGCTGCCGGCGGCGCTAGCGCCGGGGATGGATCCCGTGGTGCGGTCGCGGCTGTGCATCGTGATCGGCGCCGCGGCTGCTCTAGCCGGCCCGAACACCTGCTACGAGGTAGTTAGGGTTGGGAGGGACGACTGCTCCCCTTTCGCCTGGTCTATACACTCTCGAGTCACCCGCTCTCGCCCGTCCCCCGACTTCTCCCCTTCCCGTCCCCCGAACCAACGCTTTCCCCTGAGTCCCCCACGGGTCCTCCCCCACCTCCCCCGTTCACCCTCACTCCCCCGCTCCCTTGTGTATCTTAAGCCCGCGTTCCCCCACCCCCCACCCCCCCCTCTCCCCCCGCCCCCTCCCCCTCCCGCTTCTGCGTGGCAGCTGATGGAGGCGGTGGAGAGGCAGGCGGAGTACGGAGTGGCGGTGGAGCTGCTGACCGCACTGGCGGAAGAGGCGCTGCTGCGCGCAAGGGCGCACCCCAGAGAGGTAGGGGGAGTGGAATGGGAGAATGGATGGCTTGAGGCGCTTACCGGTGGTTCACTCATGGTGCACCATCGTCATGGGCAGTGATGGTTGATGGTCATGGGGGGTCAAGGGGGGTCATGGGCGGTCATGGGCGGTCATGGGCAATGATGGTTGGACTCTCTGTGAGCTTGCTGGCCTAAGCCGGTACTGTTCCGGTGCTCTCCCATCCTCCCTTGTTCCTCAATGCCCTTCTTTTTCGCCAACCCACCAGCATCCATCTCTCCGCCTGCTCCCTCCTGCCCCGTGATTCAAACGCCTGTGGCAGGTGATGGAGTGTCTGCAGGACTGCTGCCCTAAGGTGATCCGGCTGCTGGAGAGGGCGCTCACATCGTCAGTGGCGGACTCCCTGCCGCCAGACACCATCGCCAAGAGCCTCACCTGCCTCGCACGATGGTGGGCCTGCTGCTGCTGCTGCTGCTGCTGCTGCTGCTGCTGCTGCTGCTGCTGCTGCTGCTGCTGCTGCTGCTGCTGCTGCTGCTGCTGCTGCTGCTGCTGCTGCTGCTGCTGCTGCTGCTGCTGCTGCTGCTGCTGCTGCTGCTGCTGCTGCTGCCACTGCTGCTGTTGCTGCTGCTGCTGTTGCTGCTGCTGCTGCTGCTGCCACTACTGCTGCTGCTGCCGATCAGATGCATTCATGCATGCTCCCACTCTTGCAATCGTGCAGCACACACGGATGAGCATTCTTGCACCCCCCTCCTTCTCCCAACTCCCCACCCCTTCCCCTTCGCCCGTTCCCACCCCCCCTCTCTCCCCGCCCCCCTCATTTCTCCCAGGAAGCAAGCGGGGCTGACGCTATCGGAGCTGCACCGGGAGCACGCGTCCCTGCACCAGGCGCTGCTGCTGGCGCTGCAGTCGCGCCACAGCGCCGTGCAGGACGCTGCTGTGGGCGTGCTGTCGGAGCTGCTGCTAGAGGTGGACATCCTGCCAGGCAGGGACGAGGCAGTCAAGGCCACGATTCAAGGTATGTCAAGGCCACCATACAAGGTTTATGCAAGTTACCACTCAATGTACGTATGCATGTTCCAGCACAGGACAGTTGCACACTCCACCGCGCAGTGCTGGACGCTGCGGTGGGCGTGCTGTGCTGTTGGAGCTGCTGCTAGACGTGGACATTCTGCCAGGCAGGGAGGAAGGCTACCATCCAAGGTGAGTGAAAGCCACGAGGCCACACTCCAAGGCCATTCAAGGGGTGGCCCCCACCCCACGACAGCACAGGCAGCCCTATGGCGCCCTTAGTGGCTGCTAGTGTTACAGCAGCAGCAGGCCCTTATGGGGGGGGAAGGGGGGAGAGGAGGGGGGGGGGGGGGGGGGGGGGGGGGGTGGTTGAGGGGGAGATTGTGGTGATTTTTTCGTTTTTTTTCAACCCCCCCGCTGCTCGTTCCCTCCCCTCCAGGTCTCGTTGCTCTGAGGGGTGGCCCACACGACAGCACAGACAGCCCAATAGTGCCCCTGGTGGCGGCAATCGGCACAGCAGAAGCAGGGCTGCTATCCGGTGGGGGGGACATGGAGATGCGCCTCCTGCAGTGGCTGGTCGAGCTCACCGCAGGAGGCGCAGCCGGGGGGGGTAGTACTGCTGCAGCGAAGGGGTCTGGCGCTGCTGGCGGGGCAGCAGCAGGGGGGAGGGTGGGGGGAGCGGGGGAAGGAGCTGGGGTGGGTGGTGGAGGGGGAGGGGGAGGGGGAGAGGAGGAGGTGAGGGTGATGGATACAGCAGCGATGGCAGCGGAGGTGTGGCCCAAGGTGGCCAAGGTGCCCAGGAAGAGGAGGGCGCCGGCGCTGCAGTCCGGAGAGCTCTTCACTGCGGTGCTGCAGGTGAGTGAGATGAGTTTTGAGTCGACAACAGGCAGCGGAGGCGTGGCCCAAGGTGGCCAAGGTGCCCACTGCCCAGGAAGCGGAGTGAGATGAGTTTTGAGTCGACAACAGGCAGCGGAGGCGTGGCCCAAGGTGGCCAAGGTGCCCACTGCCCAGGAAGTGGAGAGCGCCGGCGCTGCAGTCCGGAGAGCTCTTCACTGCGGTGTTGCAGGTGAGTGAGATGAGTTTTCAATCGACAACAGGCAGAGGAGGCGTGGCCCAAGGAGGCCAAGGTACCCACTGCCCAGGAAGCGGAGAGCGCCGGTGCTGCAGTCCGGAGAGCTCTTCACTGTGGTGCTGCAGGTGAGTTGGCCTGTGATCATGATCGAGTTTTGAGATAACTCAACACTCACTGCTGTGCTGCAGTCGGGAGAGCTCTTCACTGCTGTGCTGCAGTCAGGCGAGCTCGTCACTTCTGTGTGGCGACCTCTGTCTCCTCTTATCTCGAGACACTCTGTGCCCTCTCTTGCCTGGCCCTCTTCTCCCCCCGCCTCTCTCTGCCTCACTGCCTCTCCCCTGCCTCTCCCCTGCCTCTCCCCTGCCTCTCCCCTGCCTCTCCCCTGCCTCTCCCCTGCCTCTCCCCTGCCTCTCCCCTGCCTCTCCCCTGCCTCTCTCCTGCCTCTCCCCTGCCTCTCCCCTGCCTCTCCCCTTCCTCTCCCCTGCCTCTCCCCTGCCTCTCCCCTGCCTCTCCCCTGCCTCTCCCCTGCCTCTCCCCTGCCTCTCCCCTGCCTCTCCCCTGCCTCTCCCCTGCCTCTCCCCTGCCTCTCCCCTGCCTCTCCCCTGCCTCTCCCCTGCCTCTCCCCTGCCTCTCCCCTGCCTCTCCCCTTCCTCTCCCCTGCCTCTCCCCTTCCTCTCCCCTGCCTCTCCCCTTCCTCTCCCCTGCCTCCCCCCTGCCTGTCCCCTGCCTGTCCCTGTTGCACGACAGGCGGTGCTGTCAGCGAGCACGTACCCACGCACATCCCTGGACGACATAGACGTGGATCCAGATGACTTCCTGCGGTGAGTCCAAGGGCACGGTGGGCGGGGTTGGGGAGGGGATGGGGAGGGGGGATGGGGAGAGAACGATGGAGGGAAGGGAGGAGTTTCAGAATAGGGTGCTGTCAGCGAGCACGTACCTGCACACGCCCCTGGACGACATAGACGAAGATTCAGGGGAAGGAGTCGCGGGGAAGGGAGTCAGGTGGGGGGTTCATTGAAATGGGGGAAGACTGGGAGCGGAATGGGGAGGGGATGGTGGGGCAGGGAGGAAAGGGGGTTGGGCAGAGGTAAGAAGATGGAGTGCCAATGAGCGAAGGGAGGCCGGTGCTTGAGCATCCCGCAGAATCTCTTCCCTCCTCAGAGCATCTCTCTGTCTCGCTCTTTCCTTTTGTTTTGGGTCGATTTAAAAGTCACATTTCTGCAGACTCTTTTCCCTCTCCAGCATCTCCCTGGCTCCGCTCTTCCTCCCTGCCCATCCTCGCATTGACTTCTGTTTCCCATCCATCCCACCCACCCGACCCCCCATCCTCCCCTCAACCTATTCCCTCCCCTCAACTCACATTTGCCGCAGGTACCACGAGGGCCCTGCACAGCAGACGCGTCGGGGGCGCCTTTTGAGTCGTTTTTAAAGCCTACTCTCGCTCCTCAACTCACATTTGCTGCAGGTACCGCGAGGGCCCTGCAGCCGACGCGTTGGAGGCGTGTTACTTGGAGTTGGGAGCCGTGTTCCTGGACCACGTGTCGCTGCTGCTGCGCTCCGCTGCCTCCTGGCAGGCCGCAGAGGCCGCCCTCTTTGCTGCTGGCGCCGCTAGTAGCGCTATTCTTGACAGGGCCGGGGTGGGGAAGCAGCAGGGGGGAGGGGGAGGGGAAGGAGGCAGGGGAGGGGAGGAAGGGGTGACGGAGAGTGAGACGAACGCTGCGCGTGTGTTCCTGTCGTCGCTGTTTGCGTCCCTGCCCGGCTCGGCTGCTGTCATTGCCAAAGGTGTGACTGGCTCTTTTGAGGGGCACCTCAAGAGCACTCATCGTTGGTCGTGTGTGATGGGCTCGTTTGGAGCATCCTCTCAGAGATCGTCTCACTCTGGACCAGGGCATTCCGTTTCTTCTTCTCCCTCCATCCCTCCTCCCTTCGCCCTTCTACCCCTCCACACCTCCATCCCACCCACCCACCCCATCCTGGAACCTTGTCTTTTTTCTTGTTGCTCCTTCTCGTTCGCCTCTCATCATGCTTCTAGTAGCGCACCGCACCACACTCGATCCAGTCACGCCAAAGCATCATCCTTGCACTCCCTCCCCTATCCCAATTGCCCCGCTCTTTCTCCCCCTCGCCCACTCCCCCCCCACTCGTCCTCCCTGCGCCCCCCACTCCCCCCCCTCTTGTCCTCTCAGACTCGGCCAACATCCCGCCAGCCGCTCTGGTGGCGACGGCCATGCACACAGTGGCGGCGTTTGCGCCCTTCTGCGCGCACCACCCCCCGGCTCTCGAGGCCGGAGTGCTCTACGCCGTCGCTGCTCTCCACATACCCAATGGTTCGCTCCCCGTGGCCCCACCAGGTTTTGATGATGCTGGTTGTGCTGGTCGTGCTGGTCATGCTGGTCGTGCTGATCGTGCTGGTCGTGCTGGCCGTGCTGGCCGTGCTGGTCGTGCTGGTCGTGCTGGTCGTGCTGGTCGTGCTGGTTGTGCTGGTCGTGCTGGTCGTGCTGGTCGTGCTGGTCGTGCTGGTCGTGCTGGTCGTGCTGGTCGTGCTGGTCGTGCGGCTGTGCTGGTCGTGCTGGTCGTGCTGGCCGTGCTGGTTGTGCTGGTCGTGCTGGTCGTGCTGATCGTGCTGGTCGTGCTGGCCGTGCTGGTCGTGCTGGTCGTGCTGGTCGTGCTGGTCGTGCTGGTCGTGCTGGTCGTGCTAGTCGTGCTGGTCGTGCTGATCGTGTGGTCGTGCTGGTTGTGCTGGTCGTGCTGGTAATGCACCTGCTAAGTGTTACCATGCAATGGCCATGCCAGCCAACTTCGTTAAGCCCGTCTTGTCAGTGGCCATTCTCTGTCCATCAAGCTTCACTGCTCTCTCTGCTTCCGTCTTGAGTTTTGCCGGCTCCACTGCTATCCCTGCTTGCACTCACATGCTCATGCCTCTCCTCTCCTCTCCTCTCCTCTCCTCTCCTCCCCTCCCTCCCGCCCTCCATCACCAGCCACAGGCAAGGCGGCAGCAGCACTACAAAGCCTCTGCGACGCAGCAGCGCCCAACCTGGCAGCAGCGCGGGTTCTCGCCCCGCTCATGCAGTCGTGCGAGGAGGCACTAGCAGCAGCGGCGGCGCGGGGAGGAGGGGGCATGGAGGTGGACGACCGGGTGGCGGTGGTGGCGGGGCTAGCAGCAGTGGCGGCGATGATGCCACAGGGGGAGGCGCAGCCTGCGCTGGCCAGACTCGCTGCGCCGGCGTTGAATACCGTGCAGCAGCTGGCGCCCATGCAGGTGAGTCCTGTCCTGTTGCATCAATCCGTGTGGCAGTGATGATGCCGCAGATTGATGCTGCACAGGGGGGAGGGGGGGAGGGGGGTGTGGGGGGCGCAGTCTGCTCTGGCCAGACTTGCTGTGCCGGCTTTGAATACCGTGCAACAGTTAGAGCTCCCATGCAGGTGTGTCTGTCTGTCTGTCCGTCCGTCTGTGGGGGTATTGGCATGCAGCAGATGCCTCTTCAAGCAGCAGCAGCAGCAGGCCTTGTTGCAGTGCTGGCAGCGTTGATGCTGCAGGTTTGACTTGCCACCTCAACCCACTCCACCTAGACCAGCGTGTAAGAGCCTAGAACAGCTGCCGCCCGCGCGGATGATTGCACGCATGCAGCAAGTAACATAAGTCAACAGGGAGGAAAAAACGTGACATCACTCGCCCCCCCCCCTCTTTCCCGTCCTTCTTGATCCTCTTGTCCCGTTGACCCACCTCCTCCTGCCCGTCCGTCTATCGCTTCCACAGGACTCCTCGCCCTACTCACAAGCACTCCTGAGTTGAATTGGTTTTTGAGAATTCTCAATAACCAATTTCCCTCCTCCTCCCCGTCCGTCCGTCACGTCCGCAGGACTCCTCGCCCTACTCACAAGCGCTGCTGTCCGCAGACCTAAGGGTCATCGCAGCCATTGTGTCGACAGTGGGCGACAAGCTCCACGCAGCCAGAGAAGCAAGCGCAGCAGGCTCAGCTGCCGCTGCTGCTTCGGCTGCGTCAAGCCCTGGCGGATCAACAGCAGCAGCAGCAGGAGGAGGGGGGGCAGCAGCAGGGAGCGGGGCAGAGGCGCTACTCCTCCCGCTGCTGCAGGGCGCGTGGCCGTCGTTTGATCTGGTAGCAGCGAGATGGGCGGATGATGCAGTGGTGGGAGCTGCGCTGTGTGGGCTGTGGGGGGCCACTGCGAGGGCGGTTGGGGGCCAGCTGGCGCCAGTGCTGCCGCAGGTGATAGGCGCTGCTGCGGGCATGTTCCAGCGCCACCTGCATGCCGCATGCCTCAAGTGCCTCGCTGATGTGAGTGAAGGATAGGCGCTGCTGCGGGCATGTTCCACTGTTACGTGCATGTGCATGTGTGTGTGCACGCCATGCCTGTCAGTTGCACATGTTCCAGTTGCCCTTGTTCCAGCTGCCCTTGTTCCAGTTGCCCTTGTTCCAGTTGCCCTTGTTCCAGTTGCCCTTGTTGCAGTTGCCCTTGTTCCACATGCATTTGTATATGCACACACACACACACGCACACGCGCATGCGCGCGCACAGGCATACACACACACGCACGCACATACGTGCGCCCACCCGCGTACTTGCACACACGTGCACTCGTGCTCTGGTCCCACACAAGACTTCCGCGTTCAAGTCCCCCACCCACCCCCACCTCCCTCGCGCCTCCCCCCGCCCACCCCCCTCCCTCCCCCCCTCCCCCTGTGCCTGTCAGATCGTGTCCATGTCTCGTGTGGACTCTATTTTTTAGGCGCCTCAAAAATAGACCCCTCCCTCCCCCCCCCCTCCCCCTGTGCCTGTCAGATTGTGTCCATGCCTCGTGTGGGCGCGCGGGCATCAGCCGAGGTGCAGGCGAGCCTGGCAGGCATTCCGGACAAGCTCGCTGCAGCGCTACCCGTGCTGCAACAAACCATCACACAAACAGACAAGGGGGGCAAGTCCCTGCACAGACCCTCTAGACCACAGGGCCAGGGGCAGGGGCAGGGGCAAGGGCCGGGGCAGTTGTCGCAGCAGCAGCAGCAGCAGGAGCAGCATGCGCGTGCGCTGGAGACGCTGCAGGCGTTGTGGGATGTGGCGCGGGCGTTTGTGGCTCATGCACCGGAGCTGCTCCTGCCTTCCCCCACGTTCCTTGTGCTCTGCCAAAACGCAGTCTGTATGCTTCTCTTCTCTTCTCTTCTCTTCTCTTCTCTTCTCTTCTCTTCTCTTCTCTTCTCTTCTCTTCGCTCTCTCCCATAGCGTGCATAGTCAAAATTCACTCACAAAACATTCACTCACAAAACATTCACTCAGAAAATAGTCACTCACTGTTGAGTGAGCTTGGTAAGGTCGCCTAGGAAGGCAGGATTGCGCCCCGTGAACTCGTTGCCCCACAGATTGCTGGTGGGAGCATTGAGGGGGAGATGAAAATGGGCGATGGGACAGGCAAGAAAGGGGAGAGTGATGACTAGTGAAGTGAGTAAGGGGAGGAGAAGAAAGAGGGGAGCAGTTGACGGAACAAGATGAGGGGAATAAGGTGCTCACCCCGTTCTTACCCATTCCCCATCCCCCCACCCTCCCCCTGCAGCGTGCATATCCTGGGCGGACTCAGAGGCAGTGGAGGCAGCAGCGAGGTTCCTAGCAGAAACCATAGTGGGGCAGTCCTTGATGCACGTGCGCCAGATGGCTCCAGAGGCACTTGCTCTGGCAGCCACGCTGCCGGGCACATGGGTCATTCCGCCCGGTCTCAGGGGCGCTGTTGATGACATGTGTCGGCAGCTCGGAGGGGCTGTTGTACAGGTATGCTGCGCAGCTGCTGTTGTATGCTGCACTGCTGCTGCTCAATTACTGCTCAACTGCTGCTCAACTGCTGCTGTTGATCTTCCCTCCTACCCTGCTGCTCTTCTCAATCTTCTCCTTCCTCCTCCCCTGCTTTTCCTCCTCCACCCCCTCCCTCCACACTCTCCCTCCACACTCCCTCCCTCCACACTCCCTCCCTCAACGCTCTCTCCCTCCATGCTCCCTCCCTCTGTGTTCACTCACTTCTGTTCCCTCCTGCATCCTCCTCCCGTGCGCCTCACCTCCCTCCTCCCCTCTACCCAGGAGGTACTCTCAGCAGTGGCCAAGGGGGCGGTGGGTCACGAGGCGGAGGCAGCACTGGCCGATGCATTGAACGCCCTTTGCTGCACGCATCCCCGGGAGTGCGAGGCTGCCATAGTCGCCACTCTGTCTGGCCCCTCCTCCCCCTGCCGCCGCGCTGAGCTGTCTCCGCGCCATATTGAGCTGTTTGTTGCAGCAGCCACCCGGCAACCACCCCACCCCCGCCGCCGCTTCCACTGTAAGTCACGCGAAATTGTCTTGTGCAGTGGCCTTGTCTCGTGCTGTGGGTTGGTCAGTTGCATTCACCGTTTCCCCCCCTCTCTATTTTCCTGGTCTTCCCTGGATAGCCAACTGGCCTATACCTGAAGTCATGTTGATTCCATTCCGAAATTTCTCTGCTTCCCGTTTCAGGCTTAATGTCAGACTTCGGCAAAGTATCGAGCGCACTGATGCCACCCGAGGCCTTTGAAGGGTACTGAATAGGATTTGCTATTTGGAGTTTCATGGTTGCTGTTGCATCAGGCACCAGCTACCAGTATGGTACGGGTTAAAAAAAGGCCCATCAATTGATAATCTGTCACCAATTATCAAGATTTGTGCTACACGTCAGCAGCATGTAAGGCAACCTCAAGAGGCCTCAAATTTGAAGGGTGTTTCACCCTGATTGCCCTTGCCAGCGGCCGTTTTTTAGGGATCACCCTGATTTTGTAAGGGCATTTTTTCCATGACCCTTAGTCAAAAAGTGCAAAGAGCGCGTTCTTCCCAAGCAACCTCTTCCTAGACTCGCGTGTTACAATATATAAATGTTTAAAGTGTTCACACTTACAAAGTTGTGTATTGTGAATGCGAAGCTGCTTGTAACGCAATCTAAGGCATTGTCGAAGCGCGCTATTCGCCCTTCTCCAACCATATAATGGGGTTGGAGGTCATTCTTCCTCCACCCACGTTTTTTCATTTTTCCCAGCTCAAGTTCAATTGAGTTCCCATCCCGTTTTTTTCGCTCCACCACTCTGGCGAAGTTGAAAACTCTCCCTCGCGGGGAAGCACCCTCCCAGCTTCTCGCAGATATCCTCACGCATAACCAGGCAGCCATGGCCCCTCCTAGCACCCCGGCCAATCGTGCTGAAAATCCGCCCGTCGACACTCCGAATAATTCTGAAAACCCAAGAAAAACGCCCCTGAAATGGCGGGTGATCGCGGCAACAAGCGTCGGGCAGAGGGCGACCTCGCCCCTTCTGCCCTCGACGTGTTGCTGCGCAGTGGCGAGGTCCACCAAGTTGAGCTTGGTGGGCCACGCGCCAGCGAGCAGCAGGAGACGCACGCTGCGGATGGCGCGTCTCCTGCTGACGCCAGCACGCAGAAGGCTCTGAACAGTAGGGCGGGCCCCGCGCGTCAGAACAAGCGAGGCCGCGGGGCGGCCTCGTCCAGCGCGCCAACACCTGCCGCCCCTGCTTTGACCAACGAGCAAGTGGCGGCACTGCTGGCGCTGTTACAGCAAAACACACCCGCGGTTACAGCAGCTGCGACTACAATTTCTGCCTCGACTAAAATTGAAGATGCAAAAAAGGAGTCGTCGCGTCACGTTCGTCCTTCCAAGACCGCCCGCGTCGAGAAGGAGCTCGCCGCTGCCACGCAAGACAATGCCAAGGAAGACAGTGACTCCGACAACGAGGCTGGTGAGGCTCATACACACGCAAAATTTTTCGCACCCACCGAGCACCTCCCACCCATGAGGCTGGTGTGGGTCCGGAACGGCGGGCCACACTGCAGGCTACTATCCAGTCGCTCCTGGAAGCCGGACGCAGCCAGTCCAAGGTCCCCGTCCGGCACGTCGCGCGGGTTACTGGTATGCTTGCTTCGATGTCTCTTGCGCTTGGGGCCACTGTGAGGGCATTCAGCCACGCTGTGCTGCAGACCATCAACGACGCTCCCTCCTGGAACAGCAGAGTATTGCTCTCACCTATCGCCTGCGAGGAGTTGGAATTCTGGTCAACCGAGTTTGACCACTTCAACGGCGCCCCATTTCATCTGCGCTGTAGCTACGACGCTGTAATTCACGTCGACGCGAGCAGCCACGGCTGGGGGGCTACTCTCAACACGTTCTCTGGCAACCTTGATGAAGCCAGCATGAACATGCCCGCCGCTTTGCGACACACGTCCAGTACCCGTCGAGAGATTGAAGGGGTTCTATGGGCACTGCAGACATATAGCGACCTACTCCGAAACAAGCATGTGCTCGTATGAGTGGATAATCAGGGAGTTTTCTTCATATTGAAGAAGGGTGGCTCACACAGCTCTGAGCTCACCATCGCTTGCAAGGAGATCATTCGCACGTGTACTACCCACCGAGTCCGCCTCATGATGGAGTGGATCCCTCGCGAACTCAACACACATGCAGATGAGCTTTCCAAGATCCTCGATCGCGATGACTACACGCTGAAAACGCCGTGGTTCAACATCCTTGACCGGCGCTAGGGTCCCCATTCCACTGATCTCTTCGCCAATGCTAGCAACGCCAAGCTGCGTCGTTTTTGTTCCGAAACCCGCACCCTGCTGCTACGGCGATCAACGCTTTCACGATCTCTTGGTCGGCAGAACACGGCTTTGCCTTTCCCCCACCTCAACTGATCCCCCCCGTCCTCCACTATGCGCAACGTACACACGCGTTGCTCACCCTGGTACTTCCCCACTGGCCCGGCGCCAGCTGGTGGCCACTCCTCCAACCCTCACCGCCAGCCTGGGCTAGCCCCATCAAAGCTCACATCCGACTCACGTACAGAAGCCAATGCTTCGCCCCAGGCACACACACTAGCGCCTTCTCTGGCTCTGGTCTACCTGATAGCCTCATGCTCGCTCTGCAAGTCACGTTTCCCTAATGTCTGCCTCCCCACCTGTATCGCAAACAGATCTAATCCCAACCCTGCAACGCGAGCTGCTCTCGGTCATGGCACAAACGCATGCACACTCCACAATTCGAACTTACGAACCTTACTGGCAGCAGTTTCGTTCCTTCTGCATCAAGGTCAACCTTCCCTTCCAGCCAACCGCAGACATGACACTCGCCTTGCACCTTGTCTATGCAATTCGAAACAAGGCCACTCTCTCAGTAATACAACTCACATGCTCGGCCGTCAGCTTCGCTCACCGCATGATTGGGGCATTCTGCCCCAACACTGGCCCTTTCACGTCACCAGTTCGAGAATTCGCCAAGCGACAGTGTCCCCGGCCCAATCGGACCAAGGAACCGGTCTCTTTACATCAAGTGCACGAGATGGCTACTCACTTCATCGGTGCTAACAACCCAGCCACATTCCTGAAAGGTCTCATTCCCCTTCTCATGTACGTCGGATTTTTGCGTTACTCCGATCTCGTGGCCATCAAGTGGGAGGATATCCAGTTTGAGGATGACGTAATGTGGCTGCTCATCCCGCGCTCCAAAACGGACCAGGCAGGTCAGGGCTCATTGGTTCCTGTTGCTGCCGTTCCAGGACCCCTCTGCCCTGTCCGATGCACCAAACGCTTCATCCGGTTGGCAGGCTATGGACCCACCACTCCCGGACCCTTAATCCGGGTGTCCGGCGTGGCCACAGGTGGCATCCCCACCAGCAAGCCGCCATCATACACCACCGTACGCAACTGGTGCAAGGAGGCTTTCCAGTCCATCGGCCTGGGTGAGCATCACCTCGGCACCCACTCCTTATACAAAGGCGCTGCGACCGTCGCTGCCCACGGAGGCGTAGCGGACCGGCTCTTCAAACGTCTTGGCCGATGGCGCAGCGACACGGCCAAAGAAATGTACGTCACACCCGCCGTCGACCAACTGGTTGCGGCCTCCCGCAACGTACAGACCCTCGGGTCGGCTCCATCCCCGGCACAACATTCTCGAGCTCTTGTACGCCACCGACAGCCATCTCCCTCCATGCCTCAGGTCAACCCAGTGGAATGAGAACGATGCCATTTCCACTACAAGTAGCGAGCTTTCTCAATATATAAAATTTTTAAGTGTTCACACTTTCAAAATTGTGTATTGTGAATGCGAAGCTGCTTGTAACGCAATCTAAGGCATCGTCGAAGCGCGCTATTCGCCCTTCTCCAACCATATAATGGGGTTGGAGGCCATTCTTCCTCCACCCACGTTTTTTCATTTTTCCCAGCTCAAGTTCAATTCCCGCCCACCCAACCCGCTTCGTCTACTCCCTTCAACATGCACCGCTTCGGTGGATCATCCTCGGCATATACATATCCCAGTATAGACAGTTTAGAAAGTTTATGCTAATAGATGAATATATTGGGAACTCTTTGTACTTGATGCCAGTGGAATGAGAACGATGCCATTTGCACTACAAGTAGCGAGCTTTCTCAATGTCACAAATTTTGACACGAAATGTTTCAGTGCGATTCCGCGAAGTGCGAAGTGAGATTCGGCTTCCCGAGATTCAGGGGCGTGTTTTGAAACCTCTTTTCATACGAGCAGATTTTCAGACAAGCGCGAGTCTGCACAGTAAATTTTCTACGCCAGCTGGTTTGTGGTTGAGAGAGATGGAACACAAATACCGTAATCCCCGGTATATAACACCCTATGGTGGATATAATAATTCATTAAAAAAATGACTGGGTGTTAACAGTGGCCTGGAAAAATATAAGGCCCATGTGTTATGTATAATTCATTTTGAATCTGATTGTTTCTAGGCTTATACATGCATTGGGTTTCTATTAGGGAGTTTTGCACTTTTTGGATGAGAGAATGGCCATGCCAACATGTTGAACTCGGCATGGGCTATAGGATTTGTGGCCAATCCCTAACGGTCGCAGCTGCCAACAGCCAGCGGATTGCTGCCATCGGCTGCCAGCGCTGCGTGTGCACGGCTAGGTGCAGTGGATGCTGCAAGCGCAACACCTGCGATGGAATCTGGCATCTCAAGATGCCCTTTGGAAGCTTCTTGACCAGACCATTGCATGCTAGCATGCGATGGTCTTTTTGGCTGTCAAGAACCGTGCGCGGCTCGGGTAGTGGGTCGGCCCACGTTTCTTGTTCATCCGTTTGTTGTCGCTGCGTCATTTTAACGTTCCAGTATTGTCGTCCCAACAGAAAATCCCTCGCGATGTCGAACCTCTCTAACAGAGCCTCGGGCATAAGTTCGCCGAGGCGATTTTGTAGGCAAAGATTCAGTCATGGCGGCCCGTGCTCTTAGCGGCATCTCAGTTTTGCGAACCCATCGTCCACCCCATGGTAGTCAATTTCTTCTTCGTCCGTTTCCGTCTATTCCTCCAGCACCACCTGCGCCGACAGCACCGCCTGCGCCTCCCGCGCCTCCTACACCTCCTGCCCCACCTGCTCCTCCCGCACCTCCGTATACATCATCTCCGATTGCTAGTCGTCCCGAGGAGTGGGACAACGACTGGCAGGACGATGATGAGCTACACTGGGAAGATGCTGCCGATGGAGAGCCAGAGCCACCCCCGACACTTCCTCGTGTCATTGTTCCATCTTTCCCTCAGCCCATTCGTCGTCCCCACATGCCGCGAGTTAACCGGGATACTGCACCTCCCTCCCCCAGACATCGCAGGACCAGGAGCAAGAGAGTCTCGCGCACAGCGGCGGAAAAGCTATACTGGTTGGCCCATCTCGACTCCGACCCGAAGCTTTCGAATCGCAAGCTGGCGAAGATGGCCGAGGTACAACCCTATCAGATACGCGAGTGGAAGTAGAACAAGTCACGGCTGTCGGCGGCGGCGGGATGCAGGCGTCGTCTCATCGATGCTGGACGCAAGGCAAAG